CATTTCATAGATAGACATTTCATAGATAGACATTTCATAAATAGACATTTCATAGATAGACATTAGACATTTCATAAATAGACATTTCATAGATAGACAGTTCATAGATTTACATTCCATTGACGGACATGTTAAATATCATAAAATCATACACATGAAGGCATGTCTATGAAATGTCCTGTTTATAAGATGTCCATTTATATGGTGTCCATTTATAAAATGTCCATTTATTAAATGTCAATTTATAAAATGTCAATTTATAAAGTGTCCATTTATAAAATGTCCATTTATTAAATGTCAATTTATAAAATGTCAATTTATAAAATGTCCATTTATAAAATGTCCATTTATAAAATGTCCATTTATAAAATGTCAATTTATAAAATTCCATTTATAAAATGTCCATTTATAAAACTCCAACACAGTTTTATTATTTGTAGGTTTATGGTCCTTCTTCTACTTCTTGGCTTTCTGCGTAATGGCTCACCAATGGGGCTCTAGCGAGGAACCACCAGCAGGTTAGATATCGTCTTCCCTTTTTACTTCTATCAATCAATCAATAATTGAATTCCAGACTCAAATTTTAAATTTTCCAATTAGCATAAGACACAGCAATTGTTCAGTGTAAGCAGACCCGATGCACTTAATTAGTCATATGATTAGTATCTAGTAAAACTATTTTCTTTGTAACAACATCTAATACACTTAAGTATTGCTACAATGTCGTCTTCCTATTCCATTGTTTTTGGTTCTCTTTGTAGCCTGTAGTTTATTTTCATAACATTTTTTGTAATGTTTGATCAAAATTGGGAAACTGTCTCTAAAAAATTTGCCCACGAAACAGCTGTTAAAAAAAATTAAATCTCATAAAAAGATGCGTTTCTTTAGAAAAGAAATTTCCATTATGAAAATTATACCTTTACGAGAACTAAAGAGAAGCTAAATAATATCATTTTATAATTAAGTTATACCAGTGCTATAATGAAACTTTTATATTTACTTCTAGACAATGTAATCAATTTTATTTACGGAATATTTCTAATCATAAACTGTTTCTATTAAAAAAAAATACACAAACTTTAAAAATTATAAATATTTGAATCAATTAAACACTTATTCTGAACACTTGGTAAATTAGAGGTCACATGGTTTAAAAGTCAGTCAGCTTAACCGTAATCTTAACTGCCTCCATGCAAAGATGGCATTGTCTGATTCACAACGATACCCTTGAAATCTTAATTTGATCAATAATGAGGAAGATATTGTAGTTTTCATGGGTTAAAAGAGTTTAATTCTAATAATTCCCCTATATTTTTCTGCAGTAGAAATTCTTAAGTCGATTTTGTAGGAAAACCGCAGTTGAAAATAATCAGTTTCTAAAATTATAAACATGCAGACAAATCTTTTACGATTACGGTTTGTGAATCTTTGCATGGAAGGTCACTTACAATTACGTTCACAGTCCCTTTAATTACGCTTACAGTCCTTTAAATTACGCTTACAGTCCCTTTAACTACGCTTACAGTCCCTTTAAGTAAAATCTATTACGGTTTATCTTGTCAGTATCAAGTTGTGTCGAAGTGGGGACGATATAAGTTTAAATAAACCGTTCCTGGTGGCTAAAGAAAAAATGGAGATTTTTTTTAGAAGCATTTTGCCGAAAACTAAATTTCTTAAATACTAATATCATTGCAACCTGATGTTGACCTTTTATAATTCAAATTATGTACCTAACATGATCTGATATTATTTCAACATTATCAATAAAATTATTATTATAATCATTATCTGTATAATAAAGCTCATATATATTTTAATATATGATAGCTATAGCTGGCCAAACAGCTGGACCGAAATTTTTTTTTCTTCAAAATTTTAAATTTTTTTAAAAATCAATATTAAAAAATTACTCTGGCAACGCCTGGCACTTCAGCTCGTTATTAATATTATTATTCATTGTTTTTATGATTTAGGATATGGACACACCAACATAGCAGCAGCCATCTTCTTCTCCTTCATCTCCATCTTTATCTGGGTAAAAACAAACCTATTTTTTTGTTTTGATCGAAATCTTGATTAAGAAATGTAATTTTTGAGCCAACACCCTTCATTTATAGAGTTCCATATACAACAGCACTTTTTACACCCAGTTCTGATAAAAATTGATGGATTTACCCTTCTTTTTCAATCTTAAAGCGAATTTTTATCAATTGCAGTTCTGAATAAATCCATTTGCAGATTAATGCATCAAGAGGCAATTGTAGAAAATTGTCAGAATCTAACACTTTCTCACCAAGATATCTTTCTCACAGGGGTCCATATAATTCCATTTGATCAATCCCAAATGATGATTGATTGATATTAGGGGCAGAAATAAACCATGTTGTTATTGTAAACAAGTATGATGTCAAGTTGTAGAAAAAATTCCATACTGCAGAATGTTTACTGCAAGGGAGTGTTTATTTTTCTGTATACCATAATTTATATCTTATATTGAATACTAATATTCAAATGCAGTACTCATTTCTGAAGTGTAGTACACGTACACAAAACCTTGTCAAAGTTCACAATGACATATAAAGTGTACTTTCATGCCCCTAAATGTACTTTCAACCCCGATCCCATTTGGGATCAGAAATGGAATTATATTAACCCCTGCTTTCTCATTGTTTGAATGGTGCCATGTGAATCGGTCATGCCACTCTATTAAGGGAGGTTCAGTTGAAATACGTTTACAGTCCTTTTAAATTCTTCGGCATTTCAGAAGAGTCTTTAAATGAAGATTAAGTTCCTGAAACTTTTTTAATTAAACCTTAACATGAAAACAACATAAGTTGTAATTAATACTTTTATAGAACCTAATTTTTTGATAATATGATTATATCAAATTAATTTTAAACGAGGTTTACTAATTGTACAGGGCTGTGAACTTTAGAATAGTGGATATCAGGATTAATGCTTAATCCTCTGTTTTTGCTGATCTCGAGACTAGCATAATCTCGAGATTATGTTAGTCTTGAGATTAAATATTTTGATCAACAAATTGGATTCTAAGAACGCCAGATTTGTGGGTTTTCTCGACTGGAAGGGACCTCACTTAATTTCTTACCCATTTATTTATTAATACATTAGTTAAAATTGGTTACAAAAGAATCTTAAACGTACTATTAAATATTTTTCTTCACCGATTAATTTACAAAATGGCCGACAACAAATTCTTGATTTGTTAGAAATTGCAGATTTCTCTCATGGGATAGAATTTATTTACAAGGTTGTCATTGGTCAATACAATTTACGAACTATATTCCTGCACTCTCATTGGAGAAAATAATGTAAAGATATCCAAAGAGAGAGAAAAAGAGTGGATTAAAGACTAAAATTAAAAGTTTCCACAGTGGATATTCGGATTAAGTAGTTGGGATTAAAGGTTATCCATTCTAAAGTTCCCAGCTCAGGCCATGTACTTCACTTCTAAAGGTCAATCTGTAAACTGCAGTACTCGGGGGGTGAATTCTGAAAATATTTAAATGAAGAATTTGTTTTCCATGTAACTATAATCCACTACTCCTTTATCGTGTGCAGGATTACATTTTCACAGGAAACGTACTATTATAGTCTTTTAGAGCTATATTTCATCGTTAATAAACGGTTCTGAGAAAACTGAGTAAAATTCAAGATAGGAAACCTCCCCATACACTTGTACTCCGAAAGCGTACTGCATATTTGATGTTTGTACTGTATGAATAGGCCCATAATCTCTTAATATCCTTAACCAGTAAACAATCCCAAGTGTACACTCTGGCTAATACACACGGAGAGGTAGCTAATATCCAGCCCCCCTGGTATTCACTTAACGATGCTGTAAACGTAATTTCAAGTAACCCACTGTTTATGGAGTGGCATATCCGATTTACAACGGTACCCTTGAAACCTTTGTTTGATCATGGATAAATTAGATAATTAGGATTATAACTCTGAAAACTGATTTTTTTTTCGATGGTGGTTTCTCTATAAAAGTGATGTACACAATTCTACTGCAGAAAAACAAATGCAGGAATTATCATTGTTAAACATTTTATCATCCACGTTCAAGGGTACCGTTGTGAATTTAGCATGTTCCTTTTTAAATGAAGAACCACTTAGAATAACAATGACAGTCCCTTAAAACTCACTTTGAAGTATGGTATAAGTGACTCATGCAGTGCTCTTAATTTTCTCAATTTTCTCTTAATATATAATAATTCTTTAGAAAAAGAAATTGGTCTCTATTTTTATTCTAATAATAGTATGGAGCTTTCAGACCCAACATAATATAATCAAAACTTGCAGCTGTAACAGCCCCCCCCCCCATTTTCTCAGTCATCCATTCTCTTTTCTCTTAAATGAAAATTCCTTACTTAACCCCCAAACATGAAGAAGATAAAGACTAATTCGGCCCGCCCAGAATAAGCACCACTCACTTTATTTTGATTTCTCTTAGAAACTGCAGAATACAATTTTTTAACGATGGCAATTCGGTTCGATTTTTTTCTTGCTTCCTGCAATTGCTATGTGATCAATAGAGAGGTGTTTTAAGTTTAGATAATTATACTTTTTACCAAAATTAGTTCTTTTAAAAAAAATGAAAAATCTTATTTTCTTTAAAGTTCCTAATCCTAAATCAAATATGTTGTCGAATCCGCAGGAAAAATTAGATGAAAGGAGCCAACTTTTCTTGGCTTAGGTTTCATTTCCCCATAATTGAATCAACCTACAGACTTAAAGAAGATAAAGAGGAATACATATAATACATATCTTCTAAACTCTTTGCTCAATGTTCTTTATTTATATACTTGAATAACTAGTTTTTTTGATATGTTCTTGTTCACTAAACTAAAGTGATTTTTAGTGCAAAACCGTTCAAATTTTATTTGGGTTGCCCAAGATGGGGCTTCTTGCAGATCTCATCTCACATAATCACATAATCACATAATCACATGTATTTTTTTTAATAGCTGCAGTTTACTTATTTGGGTAATTTCAGAGTAATACAAAATATCATCTATTCATTGGTTTCAGTCTTACTTTTTAATATTTTCGGTTTTTTAACCTATAACAACCCCCGGCCACCCATGAATGTCCGCAATAAAAATTTCACCCCAATCGGTCCAGCCGTTTGGCCGGCTATACGCAACATGCGAATGTCTTATTTTATTATATAGATTAGTTAACCATTAAAATACCCAAATAGGTGAACGGTTTTTAAAAGAATAATTGATTGATTCATTGATTAATTGATTGATATGTAGGGAGTGTGCTGCTTCCTTGGATACCAGAGGTTCAAGGCAGGGTTCGATTCCGCCTTTGGCGGAGGTATTGATGAGGAGGCGCTGCGTGGGGATACCCAGGGCGGAGGATATCAGGCGTACCAACAGGGCGGATACAGTGAGCCGCCGTTCAATCAGCAAGGTTAGCTAGTCCGCCCCCGCTCCTTGACTTAAATTTGTCTTTTTACAACGATGGTGCATAGCTTTCATTGACATTATTCAGGAATATTCTTTTGATAAATTTGTTTGTAAAAAAGTTCAAAATTTTGGAGGGTATTATACACATGATTTTAAATTTTAACTATTATTGCGAAAGTTTCAACTGTAAAACAAAAATTAGAGAATCTCCTTGTTATTTATAATGTTTAAAATATCACTGGCAGTTTGTATCCATGAAGTCGTAGAACCGGGGATAAAAAAAATGTACCCCCCCCCCCCCGGGTACAATTACTGATCCTGACATATTTAAATGTAAAACAGTGTACTGAATACATATATAAATATTAAATAAATTCGGCAAAGCTTAAATTTTTGAGAATTTTGCCAATTTAATACAAAAGAGTTGAGAATTAAATTCAATTTAATATTTTTCTCTCAAAAAACCTTTATTTTCAAGCAAAAATAAAAATTCTAAAATTGGACTAAAATAAACATTAAAATGTAATTGTAATTACTCTTCTGAAGTAGAAGATGATTAAAGAGAACACAGTGATGAGTTACCTGCGATTTCTTCTTTTCAGTTCAGAAAAGTTCCGCTAGGTGACACTGGAGTCAAGGTTTCAACTTTATCAGATAAAAAGACTATTTTGATTTGAAAATTGACAAGATTTATCCCAACAAATCTTGAGCGTTGTGTTTTTAATGAATTTTTAACATATTTTTGGTGTCCCATTGAACATTAAGCAGAGTAATTGTAAGTGTAAAAACTAAAAAGTAATTTGTTTAAATATATTACAAAAGTACAAAGTGTTTTAATTTGATATCAGCAAAGTTTTAAGATAAAAATAATATTCGTTTAAAGATTATCTAGGCCAACAGTCTTGATAATGAACTCCACCTTTTTTTGTACCTTGAAAAGTGATATCATAATTTAGAATTTTCTCATAATTCAGAATTTTCTCAAAATTTCAAAACTGTCTTAATTTCAAAATCTCGGACTTGTGAGAAAAAAAAGAAAAAAAATGAAACTGCACGCGTTAAAATCCTTTTCAACTCACTTTGAAAAATGTGTTAAATGGGACACACCAGCAAGTAAGAACTCGTCTGGGACTTGTTTTGTTTAGAAAAAATGAGTCTTATCTGAAATGAACAATTTGTGTGAAACCTTGTCTAAACTTGACAACCTGCTTAATTACGACGTTGCAGGGAATTTTAAAGGGATAGAGACGTAATTGGAGTAACTCTTTTTTTAAAGAGCTGCATGGCTGATTCACAACGGTACCCTTAAAAGCCGATCTAATATGAGAACCCTTGTTTTTCTCTTTAAAAATTGATCATTCTCGTTTGATAGTTTGCGGAAACTGTTACATGTACTTGTTTCAATAAAGATTTTTAGGATACCCCTGTGAATCGCGCCTTTCCCTCTTATAATGAAGGGAAACTTTATAATTACATTGACAGTCCCTTTAATATTTTCATTCTTTTCCCGTCCTACAAGTATTTAGATTAAATTCTCCTGAATTTTACAGTATTTTTTACTTTTTAGTTTTAATTCAACAGTTTACAGTTTAGTTAAAATCCTGCATCGTTTTTTTAATCTTCAGAAAATCACGATTGAAATGTGTTATATTTTTAGATATGGAGGGGGGGGGGGGGGGGTATTACTAGATTCTAGACTAGAACTTTTATATTTAGCTTTGTATTATCATATTTATCATATCTATTATCATTAATAATTTATTATCTCGACAAAACGTGCATGATTCAATGATAGTACAATGTCAGTGTACAAGTTTTTAAAAATCTTAATAATTGTTCAATTTTACGACATTTAAGTAGAGATTGAAGCTTTTGTTGGATAATGTTATATCTGGAACGCTTGATTTCGATATCCAATGTGGGCACTTCTGAATTTTAGGATCAAAACGTAATTCATCAATTTAAGTTATACCTGCAGGGTACAACCATCCCGGAATATCATAGCACTCTATCCCCGTAGTAAATTTGAATTCGAACAGGACCTGCCCAGTTTTTACCGGCCTGCCAGATAACAGCGTGTACTGACCCGATCCTATGGTACAGTACGTCGCCCTAACCAGACTAACATACGAAAGGGGTCAATTTTCTTGGCATAGTCCCGTGAGAGGGCTAACTATGACAACTCCCATGGCGCGTTTAGACATTTTACAGTACCCGGCCTAATCCTAGGCCTATTTGACCGACCCCACTGGCTTAGTCCACCGTGATACTGGAATCAAATCAATCCGTAGGTCATCATAAGATTAAGATCAATTTTTGATTCCGTGATTTAAAACACAAAGTTCTATTTTCCGTCCTAAATATACTTTTATTGCATGTATAATTTTCCTGGATAAATATGAATTTAATAGATTTATCACACTTTAACTTTATGCAGATATTAGGACTAATCAAAGTTTAAAGGATTTGTTTGAAAAAGCATGTTTATTTTGTAGTTAATTCTTTTTACATTGTATTTGATTAAAATAAAACTAAAGGAAATCTATTTTTAAGTTTTCAATTTACATAAGAATTTGAACAAGGTATTTATCATACATACTTTATTCAGTAGTTAAAAAAACAAACATAATATATTGGGTGCGACTGAAGATTATGATAAGCATAGTTTTTTGTGCGTTTGTGAACTGAGCCAACGATTTAAAAGCTTCGGCTCGAGTCGTAGTTCCTTAAACACATCTTTAAGACCCAATTTTAGACCCAACTCGACAGCTCGACTAACATAGAATTAGGCTCAATGAAAATAAAACCGACCTTGGTTGGTTTTAGTGGAGAATAAGGCTCAATGTTGGGTCTTATTCTCATCAAAACCCGGAATGCGCCAATTCCAACTATGAAAATCCGCCAAATACAACATTAAACCGGTTTTATGAACTATACTTTATGGAAAATCAAATGCAACCTATAAATCCGTAAGCCTGAGCCACAAATAAGTCCCAACAACACCGAAGACCTGAGTCATATTTTCTTGAATTTTTTAAATCGCCAGCTCTGGTATTTGGAGATTCAACAAACTTAAAAACCTTGCACATTTAAAAACAGACAAAACGCAATTCCCATCTTTAACTTTGAAATATTTTTTCTGTTTTTTTTTATTTCAGAGAGTTTTGTAATTGTTATTTATTAATTGCCCGTCTTTAACATTCTAGTTTGGGTACACTTAATGCAGAGCAACAAGTCTTATTCTATGTTCTTAAATCTTGTCTCGAATTTTCTTATAAAATTCTAAATTATGAAATTTATGAAAAGGGAAATTAAGTTTGTTTTTAACTTTAATTAACTTTAAATTAAAATATTTTGGATATTTTTGAAAATATAAAGATTCTCATCATTATATTTGTGTAATATTAAACTATATTTAGAATAATTGGAAACATCTAATGCTTGGATTTCCAGTAGAGCTTAGAATCCATTTTATTTTAATGCTGATCTCGATCCGGATTCATAAAGAGCCGCCCTGAAGTTTGCTTTTTTTTACAACATTTAAAAAAATGTTTTTCGCAAATATTTATGCAGAAACTTGATCATACCAATACAAATGGTATTTAAGATGTCTTATAAGTTTTGAGGAAAAAGTTTTTGTTTCGATGTTTTGGGTTGGTATTTTACTCCAGCTAGATCCTCATATATTTACAAATCCAGATTCTACAGTAAACTCTTGAATAGGAAGACGACTTTTCGACTTAAGTAATGACTTTTAATAGAATGAGCATAAGACTATTGTTTATTGTAAACAGGCTCATCAACTTGATAAGCGATTTTATAAGTTAATTTTAACACTATTTGCTTTGTAAGATCATATACACAAAAGTATTGCCATAATGTCGTCTACCTATTCCACAGTTTTCTGGTTCTCACCGTAAAAAAAATCTTGTTTATTAAGGTGAAGATGCTGGCGGCTACAACAACGTGCAGTATTAACAAATATGCCGCCAAGCCATGCACTGATCAGTCCCCTGTACAAGATCAAGGAATATACCAATATATTGTATAGATATTAGCTTAAGAGCCCAGCGTTGCCCAGGGTACTCATACTTACTCCCGCCGTTTACAGACAGAGATTATAATTTTATATATATGAATATAAAATTATGAATAGTTATTATTAAAAGGGACATGAAGACTTAATTTTTAGCGTTATTACATTTATAAAAGAAATATCCGGTTAACCCTTTAAATCTTTGTTTGAATAAGAATGATTTTAATTATTAAAATAATCTATTGATATTGGAATATTACAGGAAGCTGACTGCGGCAAGATGGAAGTGAAAAAGTTAGGTTCGGAATATTACATTTGTATAAAAAAATCGGCATTATTTTTATTTTAATCCCTTAAAAACATTTTCAGGGTTTCTTCATATTTTTAAAGATTAAAATGCATCCTAAAGTTTTATTTGGAAAAGAATAGTTCAAAGATGATCTGCTTTTGTTGCTCATAGTTTACTTTGAATTTGACAAAAGTTTTGCACATGAATAATATTTTGTTGGAACTCAGAGTTGAATTTTTATTTTAAAAACATTAAGTTTTATCTTTTCTCTCTGAGTAAAATTATAAAGCTGTAATTTACTCAGAGCAAAGATCTGAAAAGAAAAACTGGTCCATTTTGTTTCTAAAATACAATTTCAAGAATGTGTTTTACAAAATAGTTCGCTGTGTATGAAAAACGATCAGTAAATTGTCATTGATTCTAAATCTTGCTTTTTATCTTGAGTACATCGAAAAGGAGTTTTAATGGAGAAGAAAAGCTTTTCCTTAAATTTTGCACTGATCTTAAAAGCAAAATTTCCCATAAGAAGCATAAAAAGTGACTTTAAAATGTTAATTTTTGTAGACAAGGGTAAACTGAATAGATTGAAATATGTTGTTAAAAGCTATAACCCTCCTTTTACTTTTATAACGGTTTTGCACTTGGATTGATAAACACATCACTTTAATAAAAACTGGAGTAAACTTTTTGAAGCTGATTTCATAAAAGGTTTTTGGCCCGATTGGTGAAATAAGGTTATTAACCAAAAATTATAGTTTTTAAATTTTTTGTTCAACCATTTTCCGCTTGATTGAAAACAACAAGCTAATACTGAACTGCATTTATGAAAGTGATTTAACAAAAGAAAGTTTAATGATGGTGTGGCGATGATATCAAACCAAATCATTTAACACTTTTATCCACTTAACTAGTTGATAAACGTGGAATTGAAGAATAAAAAAGATCCTTTTTATTACATAAGAATACGAATTTATCCCACAATTTTCCCTTTTAAAGTTTTAAATGTTAATGTATAATAAATGTAAATTGATGTATCTAATATTCATTAAATGATTGCTTAGTTAATGAGGTTTTAAGATGATGTAAACTGAAATAAATATGATTGTCGTAAAACAAGTTTATTTATGAAGAGTGAATCAGACCAAGTATAGAAAATACAATGTTAGCAGAATTTTAAGAAAAAAGTAATTGTCATCTAAATGACAAAAGAATAATAAATGTACTTTTCCCTTAAGGATTGGGTATTTATCTAAAAAGTTTATTTGAAAAGAGATCAGTTGCCGAATTTAAAGAATTTGAGCGGCGGTTTAAATTTAAGCCGCGGCTTAAATATGGTTGGTTCCACTTAAATTTGTGTCAAATGTTTCAAGATTTAAGCCGGCGCTTAATTTAAACCGGGTTTTGGCAGATTTAAACCACGGCTCAAATTCTTTAAATTCCATCTCTGATGACTATTTAGCAAACCAATTTTTCTTAAAGGGCAGTTTCTTATATTACGGAGCCAGTGGCCGAATTTAAAGAATTTGAGCGGCGTTTTAAATTTAAGCCGCGGTTTAAATATGGTTGGATCCACTTAAAATTGTATCAAATGTTTCAAGATTTAAGTCGGCGCGTAATTTAAACCGGGTTTTGGCGGATTTAAACCGCGGCTCAAATTCTTTAAATTCCATCTCAGGGTCCTTGAAAAAATCTATCTTTTAAAATCCATCTAATCTCATAAACCTTAGACTTGAATCGTTGATCTGAACCGGCGGTAGGTAGTTTAGCGTCCCAGGATGCCTCCCTCCTCTAACAATATCTTAAAGGGATCGAATGTACGCGTAATTTTAAATATCATTTTTCTGAATTTCTCCATTTTTTCTTGTAAGCAACAAATACGCAATTCACTTCTGCAGAGTAAACAAAAATTTACATTTTAAAATTTCCAAAATATGGATACAAAGCTTTCAAGGGGACCACGTTGTATATCGGGCATTGTCCTCTTTGCATGGAGGATTACTTGAAATTACGCTTACAGTCCCTTTAAAGTGATTGCTTGTACATTACTATCTCTAAATAAATAAACACACATATTTTTAAAACTTTTTCCAAATTTCAAACCTTTAAAGGGACTGTGGACGTATTTTCAGGTTAACCTCAGATATCAGATTCATAAAGATAAGCTTTAAATCTGTGGCTGATCAGGAAGGAATGAGATATCTGCTCCAGGAGGGGAGGAAGGCCAGCCTCAACAATTTCTCGTCCGAGCCACCTCGAAATCCTCGTCCTTAGATTATTATATACTTTAGGTTTCTAATTATCCAAGATAAAACTATTTTTTTTAAATTTGACCACGGTAGGGCATTCAATATGGATAGGCTTAAGTATTGCAATGATTACATCATGTTGGAATCTTTGAAGCCATGAGGATGATGTCAAAATTAAAATTTAAATATCTTCTACCTCCGTAATGGCTAACCTTACTGATATAAAATAAATGGCATACCTGTGCAAATCAATTTTCCCCATGGAACAATCCGAAAAAAATGTTATGGTTTTCACCGAAATTAACAGAAAAGATTTAAGTTAAATAAAGTCGAAATTTTTTGCGGCATTATCTGAATATGTGCGTTATGAAGGTAAACATTTTTAAGGGCATTAAACTCGAAAACTTTAATTCAAGTGGAACTACTTTTTTCGATTTGCAAAAATTTACTTTTTCATTTATGCCCTAACGTGGCCCGATTCTGCAAATTGTTTTATTTTTATCTTGGAGGATTACACTTAACAAAAATAATATTGGGAGGACAAGGATTCGAGGGGGCTCGGACGAGAAAATGAGGAGAATGTGGCTCGGAATAGAAATTGTTGTGGCTGGCCTATCTCCTCCAGAGACAATGAAGGAATGATCAGAATAAAACATTGTCCAATATTGAATAACTTCAATATCTTGATCAGAGATATGAGACAAAGGTTCTAAGTGAACCTTGTGGCACGTCCTCATTCAATGAAATTGAAATTCCGACAACATTACCTTTAGAGAAAACATTTGATATACATATTAATATATATAATTCTAGCTGAATAACCATGCATTGCCCGTGAAAAAAAAACAATTTGAAAAAAAGGAAAAAATTATTTTGAAATTTAAAAAAATTTGTAACCTATGCCAAGGCTGCCCATGAATGTCCTCAAAAATGTCAGCGCATTCGGTCCAGCCGTTTGGCCGGCTATAGGGTACATATATAGGAATGTCTTGTTCAATCATATAGATATATTAATATATTTTTCTCTCTAAAGGTACCGTCTAATTTGTCAAACAGAATAAAAAAAACTAAACTAATTAAGCCAATATATTCCTACTCTGACAACTAAGAAAATATTTATTTATAAAATCCATTTCTATATTATCTTGGTATTGTAGCAGCTGAGTAAAACAATGATTTTGCGAACTTTTATCCTGATTCTCTATTTGTGTAGATTCTGTTGAGAAATCTTTTAACCTGATGCTAAAGTAAAGAGGCCCGTGGTTCCCAGGACATTCACCTGGGATTTTGACCAGTTTAGGAAATCCCGAGTGGGGTGAGCTGGTTAACCTGTACACAAACTAAAGGCAGTTGACGAACCTTCATATCAAGGTGTAAAAAGAAAATTGGATAGTTTGTCGGAACTCAATCTCAACTCAATTTCCCGGATAAACTCGTATCAAAACTCTTTTGTTATTTTTAATCATTAATAAATTATTTGTACCGTACATCGCTTAATATTTGGTTAGACTGAACTAGTTTTTGGTCCTTTTTACCAAAGAGAATTTATCGTTTCTCTCATATATTATCTTGGTATAATTAACAATACTCTCCACAATTTTCACAATTTACAAGAGATAAAACATTTATTAAATCTAAAATACATTTAAAATTATTTTGCGATATTTTGCTAGAGTTTAGCTTGCAAGAACTGTGCAAAATAATGATTTGGTTTGCAGAACTGATTTAGTGACAGAATATAATTAACCATCACTCCTTCGTGGTCACTCAAACTAAATAGAAGAAAATATAAATGAAAAAAAATATTGAAAATCGAGAACTTTTATGCGGAAACGTGTTCAATGATACATTTAATTATCAAAAATCAGATTAAAGTAAAACCAAGTGGATTTTCAAGCTACTAGTAAAACTATATGCTTTACATAATCAAATACACAACAGTTGATTAAATGTCGTCTTCATATTTCACACTTCTATGGGTCCGACTGTATACATAATATAACATATGACATAATTAATACCATAATTGATTTTCTAAGTTTAAGTTTTATCAAACCCCAAAAATGTCCAAAAATGTCTCAAAGCTAGACAATTGTTGTACAGTGTACAGTAATGTAAACAGATGTACAAGGAGAATCATTCAATACATCAAATTACTAAAAAAAAAAAATGGAAACATTATAAGTTGAAGGTTTAATGAGGTCAGATACCTTAATTGAGCAGTTTTTGTTGATTTACAAATTGATTCCAGTATGGTTTGCTTCTCTTGTACGGCATCTGCGCACCCAGCGCATGGTTGAGCCCAACCAAATAACAGTAAACAAGACTCAGAAGTATGCTCAATCAATATCTATTAAAGGGTTTCCCGATAAACATGAGAATTGAGAATCGACTTCGACTTTGTGAAGAATGGGCATCAATATTATACCTTACTTCATGTTACATAATAAAGTTACTTCTTCTATAAACAGATACTCTAGCAGACAAAACATTTTACGGATTTCATCTTTCCTAGTAGGCATCACAATCAATCTTTTACAAGGACAATCTTGATATCGTCCCTCAACTATTATGTTTATTGGGACACCCTGTATTGAATATGTATAAATTTTTTTCCCCGAAATATTTTTTTAAAAATCTAAATAATAAATGAAAAGAAAATAGACTTTAATAGGCTTTAAAATTGTCAATTATGCTTCTTTAGAATCCTATAAAACTGAATAAATAAATCCGTTTATATTTTTACTCTTGAAATGAATATCTTGAACACGCAAATATTGATAAAATGTACTTCCTCACCAGTCACCATATTGATTATCGGTTTTTTCTTTTGCTCTCTTCATTCTTATATGACTTTCAATAAAAAGAAAAATTCTAAAAAGAATCTCCAAACTTAGATTTATTAGAAAAGTAAAAAATGTAAAAAAATGTTGTCCATTTTTAAAATTTTTCATTTTTCTCCGATTTTATTAAGTTAGACAGATCATCTTATTTTTTTCCATTTTCCACAAAAAGCAAACAAATACAATATTAAACCTGAGCTCTAAGATCTAAAACTTCTCTGTGTAGAACTTTAACTCTATTTTCAGATCCAGAACGGGTTCTATAGAATATATAGTCAAGGATCTCAGGGTCATAAGAGGCGTCCCTAAAATAATATTAATATAAAAATAAATAAATAAAAAATGTAGATTATTAAATATGTCAATCTACTCCTATACCATTTCCTCATAGGCGATAGTACCAAATAAATAAAAAAATCCCATTATTTTATTCAGCACGCTAACTCGAGCTTATCGTCAAATAAATGAATGTTGAACAAAATACAAATAAGAGGACAAGCATTTATTAATTAAAAACCCCATTGAGAAAAAAAAATCACGTTCCGGGATCAATTTTACTTAATAGCGAGAGAAGTATATACTTAATTTAGGCGACTATATTGAACCACTTTTTCCACAAGAGAAGCAGTTCAACGACGTCTACGCAGTTGAACTACTTTCAACATTAATTCTGATTTCAGGAACTCTTTAAAAAATTAGGGATTACTAACTTTTTAGAAAAATTGACCTGTATGTGTTTTTCAAGGTCTGCGAGGTTTCTCTTGGTTCTAGATTTACAATGGAAGAGACCAAATCCTGATAGTCTTCCAGATCATTACTTGTAATCTTATCAAGCGTCTCAATATCTTTATCAATATCATTTAACAGTCTTTTACCCTCATCAATCACCTCATTTATCCGCTGTAAATCCTCCATCTTGGATTCAGCTGTCGTTACCACGTGGCAATCTGTCTGTATTCCAGAAGAATCCAGTGATTTTGAGAATGAATCTTGCATATGATTAGTGATCAGCTGGTATGAAGCTTCAGACATATTTCTAAAATCATAATTGATATCTCCTCCTGCAAGAAAACATTATTTTTGGACTTTTAAATCGTAATTTAAAAATTTTTATGTTCTACCTAAAATGATAAACTCAGCATCTGAAGTTAAAACAGCTTCCATTAACTCTGTCACTTGTGTTTCTCTGAATCAAATCAATATTAAAAAAATATATCAAGAGCAAATGTAAAAAGGTTTTTGTGAAATATAAATGAAAACATTATATATTCTTTAAGCAAAGCTGGAATCTAAGCTTGATCTATTAATTTGAAGAAGAAGAAAAAATATTTCAAAAATTAGAACAATATTTATTTCAAGAAATAACTGAATTTGTACTTTTCAGAAAACCCTTTTCAATTAAGGATAAAATACCTATTAAAATAAAGGAAACATAATAATTTAAATAAGTTAAACTTTCCTAAAATTTAAAAAGAAGGGGGGGGGGAACCCTATTACCTGTAGTATTTATTGTACGGAAATGCTGCAGTATGAGATGTAAATATATCTATACTGGAAATATAAAATATAAATTAAAATAAGTAACAAATTAAAATACTTTTTTTTTTGGTTTAAAATCATTGTTTTTGTTTTTTATATTTCCAATTCCTCATTTTTGTTGTAGGTTGAATTCGCGCTCTACCTGAAAAAAATCTTTCTATAAAACTTAATTTCAAATTATGAGCAAAACAATTTTATTCCATTTTGAGCAACATTATTAACCTTGTTCATCACTACTCTTTAACTTTTTCACCCAGAGAACATATAAATATATTTGTGTTCGCCCAAGGGACAGAAATTGATGAATTGCACATTTTCATGAGAAAAATTTGTGCATTTACAAGATGAATAAAACTAACTTTCAAAATTTTAACAAAAACATAAACTTCTTTATTATCTAGACATATTAATATTATCAAACACACAATTGAATATACTTATTAATTAAAATAAAAAGTTTAATGGTTAATAATGATTATTAAAGAATGGGATAAAACGACATATTTAATTGGAGAAAAAATTTCCTTCGGGAAAACTTCACTTCACAGGAAATTTACTTTTCCTCTTGTTTTCTCAACTTTTTTGATGATATTTCATCAATCACATTTGGAAAAGTAAATTCCCGGTAAGGTTGGTAGTTCTCCCTGGTAAATCCTTGCTAATAGTAATCAAAAAGTTATTGTGTACTATTTTAACTAATTAAACTAATTAAATAATAATAAACTAATTAAAGAGACTGTAAACGTTCCTTGAAACTACTTCAACTCTCCCTTTAAAGTAGGAAGAGGTCAGAATTTTTAACCGATTTATTGAATTTGAGCTACGTCGCTGAATTACCTACTGCCAGTTCAAATTTGAACCACCGAGTCAAAGTAAAAGATAAAGGAAGGATTTAAATATGAACCGGCGGAAGGCAGTTTAAATTCAATAAATTCGGTCCATGGCTAATTAAATTACTTCTCTAGAACATTTTCGGCAACACTAGCGAAATAGTTAAATCATTTGATAACCTACTTCCCTATATTCATTAATTCTGACCTGTGAGAAAGGTAAAAACATTGTTATTTGAAATCTATTTAATCTATTACCTATTCCTTTAGAAACTAAAATTTCTCCGTCCAGGATAAAATAAGACCCTGCCACACTGATAAATAAAAATTTAATAGGTTACAAGAAAGATTTATAATTCCCCCCCCCCCGTTTATTATCCTATTATAGGATTAATAAAAGTAATTCACCATTCGAGTTTTCATGAGCTAAATTTATATTTACCCGCCCCCCACAGGTTCTAAAAATGGAAGTTTAAAATGTCTATTTTGTTCGCCCAATATTTAATGATCCCTGACTCCTGCAGAGTAGCATGGCGTGTATTGATAATAATAATGATAATAGTAATAACTAGCTGAAGTGCCCGGCGTTGCCCGAGGAATTAAAAAAAAATTAATTTTGAAAAAAATTGCAATTAAAAAAAAATTTTATTTTTGAAAACAATTCTATTTTCAAAGATTATGTTACCCCTTAGGTACCCAAAATATAAAAAAAAAATATCAAACCATTCGATCCAGCCATTTAGCTTTAGCAAGTTTTATTAATTATGATATAGAATGATGATGGTTACCTGAAAGGAGTGAAATCAGTTGAAATGATTGGATATTTGGATAGTATTGCTAAACCTGAATACAACTTTATTCTATTCTTGGTGTAGAAAACAAAAGTGAAATTTTAAAGCCAATTTTTTAAAAGAAAAACGTATTTGGGGAACTTTTAAAATCTTAAATATTATTTTACAAAATTCTTCAGTAGCACTAATTGCTTAATTTTTCCCACTAAAATTAAATTTTAGAATTTTCTTTTTCTTTTTCGTCTTTTCTAGAACAATCAGGATACAGCCATAAAATAAATTGATGTTTCACTTTTATCTTCCAAAATAATAAAGACGAAAAAATAAAAATAAAAAGGTTTTAATACAAAATGTCCGGACCTGAGCAACCTAGAGGGGACCACACACCATCACATCTATCACCGCTAAAAATAAGTCTAATAGAAAAATATATGGGCCAGTGGGGTGGCTAGTGTGTGACACCAGTTCTCGTTAAGTTAAAAAGTTAAGCACGCTTGTCCGCAGCCAGTAACTGGATTGGTATCCAGACTGTTGTTTACAGGTTCGATTCCCGCACTTCTCGCAAACCTGTTGTTCCTAAATCATCTGAAAACAACATCTGGTTAAGCAGTTATGACCACCTGACGGATGTAGGAGGACAGAGGAGTGGCTGTCAACATATCTCGCAACGAAAGGGTGCGTACTTTCTACTCAACAAGAAAGAAGCTTTCAGTGAATTGATCCAAGTGAATGATGATGAAGAGAGGAAAGGTTGCCAACTAAAGGTACCTGGAGGTAACCAATCCGGGCTTACAAATGATTGGGAGCAATGAGTGTGATGTTTCCTATCTGTAAGGCACCCGGGCCTCATTCCAGTATATCAGAGAATTCCTGCACTCTACTATTCTCAGGCCTAAGAAGCCCTTAGGGAGCTGGAATCTTGTCAGCCCTCTTCTCAGAATTAATGAAGCGTGGACGGATGAATGTGCTGCCAGATTACAACCCCTGGTAGATCAACACTAAACTTTCGCAATAGGAAAATTCCGAGATTCGATCATAACAACCCAATCATGTTCAAGGGACAAAAATATCTATTTAAAAAAAGGAAAAAATATTTAATTCATATTTAAAATTATGAATAAAAAGTATCTACAAGGAAACTAACCCCCCCCACCCGACTTTTTAAAGGCCGGCCTTTAGTAATAATATAAACCAATCATACAGCGGTACAAAAATGAGACATCGAAAACTGTTTGTATGCTAAAGAAATAGAAAGATGATACAGGGTGACCCACAAAGGATAAGACTTTAATGACAACCTGGAACTCGTTGAATTTCATCATTTGAGGCCGAGGGTTGCATTATGGGTTCTGCCGGAAATACAGTTTTACGATGTATATATTAGACGACTTGGAAGTGAAAATACATGTTTAGAGCTAAAAGAAACCCAACATGTAAGAAAACATATTAAATTAGTTCCTTACCGTCGTCTTTGAAGTCTTATCCTTAGTGGATAACCCTGTATCTAAAAAGAAAGGTGCGAAGTACACTATATATCTACCTGAGTTGATAAAACCCAGTAGTATGATATATTTCTTCCGTAGCATTCCTGATAATGTCATGATCATCCAGCATCCATAGTTCTTGGAGTACAATAACAGCGTAATCAGATCTCTAGAATATATGGAGTACTTAATGTAAAATATCATCAAAATCAGATATTTAGAATATATGGAGTACTTGAAGTACAATAACATTGTTATCAGATCCCTAGAATTCATGGAGTACTTGGGAGTACAATAACATTGTTATCAGATTCCCAAGAATTCATGGAGTACTTGGGAGTACAATAACATTGTTATTAGATCCATAGATTAAAGTTTATGGAAGTGAGTACAATAACATTGTTATCAGATCCATAGATTAAAGTTTATGGAAGTACAATGAATACAAGAAGTTAATGGAGAAAAAGGCGTAAAATGAATACATGGAGTACAAGGAGTAGAATAAGTACATGCAGTACATTAGAGTACAATTAAAAAGTTTTTAAGAAGTGTTAAATATTTGTTAGAATGAAAACAAAAATGATCACATAATTTTGAATATTTTAATTTTGAACATGATTGATAATTTATAGAAAGCAAATAATTCAAATTCAAATATTAAATATAAAATATTAAATATATTATTAACACTTTTTATCTTAAAATTTCACCTGAATATAATCTGCTATCTCTCTGATTCTCTCTTTAACAAGAAGGGCATGGGATTGTAGTCCCCAAACATTTAAACTTAGAACCCTAAACAAATAAGTTTAATTACCCTGAGGCCGAATTTAAAGAATTTGAACAGCATCTAGAGAGATTGTTCACACACGAGACTCAGCTCAAACATGATTAGAGTTTGGAATCGGCGCTCAATTGAAACCGGTTATTGGCGGTTCAGCCACGTTGTCTAAAAATATATTAACTTAAACTTAGCCCCTAATAAAATACATTAAACTTAAACCCTGAACAAATGTATTAAACTTAAACCCTGAACAAATATATTAAACTTAAACCCTGAACAAATATATTAAACTAAACCCCTGAACAAATATATTAAACTTAAACCCTGAACAAATCTATTAAATTTAAACCCTGAACAAATACATTAAACTAAAACCCTGAACAAATATATTCAACTTAAACCCTGAACAAATATATTAAACTTAAACCCTGAACAAATATATTCAACTTAAACCCTGAACATATTAAACTTAAACCCTGAACAAATATATAAAACTTAAACCCTAAACAAATATATTCAACTTAAACCCTGAACAAATATATTCATCTTAAACCCTGAACAAATATATTAAACTTAAACCCTGAACAAATATATTCAACTTAAACCCTAAACAAATATATTCAACTTAAACCCTAATCAAATACATTAAATTTAAACCCTGAACAATTATGTTCAACTTAAACCCTGAACAAATATATTAAACTTAAACCCTAATCCAAATACATTAAATTTAAACCCTAAACAAATATATTCAACTTAAACCCTGAACATATATATTCAATTTAAACCCTGAACATATGTATTCAATTTAAACCCTGAACATATATATTCAATTTAAACCCTGAAAAAATATATTAACTTAAACCCTGAACAAATATATTAAACTTAAACCCTGAACAAATATATTCAATTTAAACCATAAACAAATATATATTAAACTTAAATCCTGAACAAATATATTTAACCAGGAAAAATTAAGTAAACAACTTAATTGCAAAGTTTCACTTTTCCCTCTTCATAAAATTCGTACTCTATCAAATTTTTTCTTTGATTTTAAGTGTCCAATTATATTTATACAATTCATTTTATACAATACATTTTATACAATACATTTTATACAATACATTTTATACAATACATTTTAGGGGGAAAAACTTTTTATCATGTTTTCAAAACAACATGTTGTACAGATTTATCTCAAGATCATTTAAAGGGATACAGAGCACGGTAAATCGGCGATGGTGCCCTTTAATGTTTGCTGATTCTTCTCTTAATTTTTATTAAATTTTTTTGGAACCCAATTCTAAGTAAACTAATGGACATTTTTTGTTTGCCTTTTTCTAAAAATTTGCGGATTTATGCAGAAGAAACAAGGAAGGAAATCGACAGAGTTATTTTCCTTTAAGATAAAATTTACAATATTGTTCCTCAGATAAAGGTTGAAAGGATACTGTCAAATGATTATTTCGAGGGTTCCTTTTTCAGCTCAATATATATTTTTGAAATACAATGTGGAATATGAAGACGATATTTAAGCAATTTTGTGAGTAATCGAGGCTGTTTTAAACCAAATAGCTTTAACGTTTGCTTGAAACCCAATATATTAGGTAAAATGGCCCAAAATACACAATTGCCATATTTCAAGTTTTTGGACTATTTAAAATCATAACCTTAAGTCTAAAAGTCGTCTTCCTATTCCAAAGTGTTAAGGGTGTTACTGTTATTGTGCGAATTCAGCACTAAATACATTAATCGTGAAAAGAAACTTACTTGAGGTTGAGAGAGTTTTCAGTTGCTAAGGTTGGAACTAATATTGAAGATATGATCAGAAACAGCAGCATTTTTAACCTTCATCAGTCCTGAAATAGGTGACCTCGGACCAAACTAATGAATTGTAGAGGTCACTGATCTACATACCACCGGTTCAAATCCTCACTCACCGATTTAAATTATTATGAATCTTTAACTTTGAATCGGTGATAAACGATTTGAACCTGTGGTTGGTAGTTCACCGACCTCTCCCAACTGAATAAATTTCGTCCCAGAACTTATCCAAATTTCGCACTATTTTATGCTTGAGCGTTCATATTTTTATTTTTATAGATATTCAGTCCTACACTGGATTGGGAACCCAGCTTTGTATGAAAACTAATCTTTCTGTCATACATGCTTTACAACTATGAACTATAACTAGAAAAAACATCTTTTTAAAAGGATACATGCTCTCTGCTATGTGCATCTCGACTTGAAAGTTGAAGCCCTTATTTTTATCATTATTGGATCATTATAAAGTGAATCCTAGATATATCAATACAAAGGCCGTCATAAGTTTTTTGATAATTCTAAAGAAACTTCTTTTTATTTTTAACTGAAGGTAAATTAATAGCCCTGAAATATGAATGCAATTAAAATATTCATATTAAACTATTTTTTCCGTGGCATTTAATCTTAAATATGTAATATGACATTATAAAACTCTTGCATGTATTCATATATCTGGGATTCACTGTATTAAAATGAGTCACATTGATATAGTAAAAATGAGTTAACATCATCTGTTAAAACTGTTCCCCGTCTGTCTATCTAGTTTACAAATTTTCTTCATAAACTCATTAAAACACGTGATTTAACAATCATCATTCCAAACTTAAAATGAGAAACAGATCAAAAATATGATATGTAACATTGACAGGGTGTCTCGCAAAACATGGCAGTAGCAAGACAATTTCAAGGTAGTATTTGATCTTTTAATTTTTTTTTTTAAAATTTGTTCGTAAACCTAATTTCAGAAGTATAATTTCAATATCACAGGAGACATGAAGAATTTCATTTAGATTTAAAATCTAAACGAAATTGTTAAATTCTACGGTAATATTGATATTACAAAAAAGGCAGACCCCATTTTGGAATTCCCAAGACTAGGATAATTTTGTGGTTATTACTTCAAGAATAATACATGTGAAAGAAGGTTGTCACAAATAAATTAAAAGTTCAAAGACGACTTTCAATAAACGATTCCAATAAAAAGCCAATTCACATTTTCTAACAATCCCGTTCAGGAATAAAACTTTTCGCGAAACAATAAAAAGCATGTAAACAGATTTGGAACATCCCTCCATGAAAAGTTTTACAAGGTTGAAAATACATTACTAGAGAACAGTTTGTTTTCTACAATTTTCTTAATATTTGAACAAACCTTTTTTCCAATTCCCCTCTCCTTGCAGATCCTTACTTTGTTTTCACATTTTAGAGTTATCTGAAAAATTTAATTTTACAATAACATTTTTAGCATTTAATTTTTTATGAAAATATAAAATCACAGCTTTATATTATCTTGTAATTGCTTCTTGCTTAAGATTAAAGTTATTTTTTTTGTTACCACATTACATATTTTTTATTTTAAAATACAAAATTATAAAAACAACCACAAAATAACATGTAAAAAAGTACAAAAGTGTATTTGATATAAACACAGGCTTCAAAATGTTGGTTTAGTAAGGAATTTATTAAGTTGATATCAGTTTAAATGTCAAAGCAAACTATTCATTATGTGAAAATTTCTACGGCTTAAAAAATCAAATAATAAATTTATATTTTAAGAAAAAGGCGTCGAAAAATCAACGAATAAAAAATGGGAATAATAATGTAAACAAAAGTTTGCATCCTACACATTTTTAAAATAATTCGTGAAGCATCTCATCATGAGAAGTAATTTCAGAGGATACAAACGCCATTTCTTATTCTTATCAAAAAGTACCGTGTTCTATACCCTGAACAGAGTAAAATTTTGAGGTTTTAACATTTACCTTATTGAACTTGAAGGATAAATCATTATAAACAATGAACAGTGTTTAGGTTTAAACATTTACATTATTGAACTTGAAGGATAAAACATGAACACAGAATACTGTTCAGGTTTAAACATACAGATTATTAAAATTGAAAGATAAAAAACATCATGAACACAGGACAGTGTTCAGGTTTTAACATCTAGATTGTTGAACTTGAAGGATAAATCATTATAAACAATGAACAGTGTTTAGGTTTAAACATTTACATTATTGAACTTGAAGGATAAATCATGAACACAGAATACTGTTCAGGTTTAAACATACAGATTATTAAACTTGAAGGATAAAAAACATCATGAACACAGGACAGTGTTCAGGTTTAAACATCTAGATTGTTGAACTTAAAGGATGAAACATCATAAACACAGAAGACTGTTAAGGTTTAAACATACAGATTATTGAACTTGAAGGATAAATCATTATAAACAATGAACAGGGTTCAAGTTTAAAAATCCAGATTGTTGAACTTGAAGGATGAAACATCATAAACACAGAAGACTGTTCAGGTTTTAACATCCAGATTATTATGAAACATCATAAACACAGAAGACTGTTCAGGTTTTAACATCCAGATTATTGAACTTGAAGGATGAAACATCATAAACACAGAAGACTGTTCAGGTTTTAACATCCAGATTATTAAACTTGAAGGATGAAACATCATAAACACAAAAGACTGTTAAGGTTTAAACATACAGATTATTGAACTTGAAGGATAAATCATTATAAACAATGAACAGTGTTCAAGTTTAAACATCCAGATTGTTGAACTTGAAGGATAAAATATGAACACCACAACAGTGTTCAAGTTTAAACATCCAGATTGTTAAACTTGAAGGATGAAATATATCATAAACACAGATCACTGTTCAGGTTTAAACATCCAGATTGTTGAACTTGAAGGATAAAATATGAACACAAAACACTGTTCAGGTTTAAACATCCAGATTGTTGAACTTGAAGAATGAAATATATCATAAACACAGATCACTGTTCAGGTTTAAGCATCTATATTGTTGAACTTGAAGAATGAAACATGAACACAAAACACTGTTCAGGTTTAAACATCCAGATTGTTGAACTTGAAGGATGAAATATATCATAAACACAGATCAAGGAACACTGTTCAGGTTTTAACATCTAGATTATTGAACTTAAAGGATAAAATATGAACACCAGAACAGTGTTCAGGTTTAAACATCTAGATTATTGAACTTAAAGATAAAACATCATGAACACAGAATACTGTTCAGGATTAAACATCCAGATTATTGAACTTGAAGGATGAAACATCATAAACACAGAATACTGTTCAGGTTTAAACATCTTGATTATTGAACTTGAAGGATAAAATATAAACACAGAACAGTGTTCAGGTTTAAACATACAGATTATTGAACTTGAAGGATAAATCATTAAAAACAAGGAGCACTGTTCAGGTTTAAACATCTAGATTAGTTGAACTTGAAGGATGAAACATCATAAACACAGAAGACTGTTCAGGTTTTAACATCCAGATTATTGAACTTGAAGGATAAAATATAAACACAGAACAGTGTTCAGGTTTAAGCATTTACATTCTTGAATTTGAAGGATAAAACATCAGTGTTCAGGTTTAACATCTAGATTATTGAACTTGAAGGATGAAACATGAACACTTAACACTGTTCAAGTTTAAACATCTAGATTATTGAACTTGAAGGATAAATTATTATAAACAATGAACACTGTTCAGGTTTAAACATCTAGATTATTGAACTTGAAGGATGAAACATCACGAACACAGAATACTGTTCAGGTTTAAACATCTGGATTATTGATCTTGAGGGATGAAACATCACGAACACAGAATACTGTTCAGTTTTAAACATACAGATTATTGAACTTGAAGGATAAAAAACATCATGAACACAGGACAGTCATCTAGAATTTTAAACTTGAAGGATGAAACATCATAAACACAAAAGACTGGTCAGGTTTTAACATTCAGATTATTGAACTTGAAGGATAAAATATGAACACCAGAACACTGTTCAGGTTTAAACATCTAGATTATTGAACTTAAAGATAAAACATTATGAACACAGAACACTGTTAAGGTTATACATCTAGATTATTGAACTTGAAGGAAGAAACATCACGAACAAATTTCGCATAAATATCTCTGCAAAAGAATGAGAATTTTAAATTAGTATAAACTGAGACCAGATTTAATGAAAAGCAAGAAGTAGTTGAATCGCATAAATATTGTTGAACCACTTCTCCAAGATGTAGAGAAGTAACTTTGTCAACGTAGTAAACTACTCTTACTATTTTTTAATCTGGTCCCTGAGGAAATATCATACAAATGCACAAAAGCTTATCTGGCCAAACGGCCAGACCAAATTGGCTAAATTCTTTTGAGGGAACCCATGGATTTTTTCCTTTCAAAATTTGATTTTTTTTAATTTCGATTTTTTTAATTCAAATTTTTGTTTAGTGTGTATTAAAAATTCCACGGGCAACACCGGGCCCTTTAGTTGTTTTTTAAAAATAATAATTTATGTCAATATTTTGCAAAATACGTAAATTTTGTTTGGATTTTAAATGATACCTGAAGTTTACATCGTGGATAAGCATTTCTGCTCCTTTTATGAAGGATTCCTTAGTCCGCTGGAAATAGAACTTCTAAAAAAATATTTTTTTTCTTTTTTAGTCCAAAAATTTGAATTAAAATAAGTAAAATACTTTAAAATCAAGTCAAAAATAAAATTCTTAAGAGTTAAAAATATGAATTTAAAGCTTTATAAAAACGCTTTTTACTAAGATCAAAAGTTTTAAAAACAAAAAATTAGAAAATTTCGCAAAATTAGATATTGTAAATTTAACAAATTTGAAATCAGATTACCTTCGTTAACAGATTTGTGAACTCCGGACTAGACGGGTAACTAGAAAATATAATTTATATCTATATATACAATTTACTTGTCTGTTTGATTTGATTTGTTGAGGTGTATATGTTCTGTCATAGTTAACATTTTGCATCATTTCATAAAAGCAAACCTATAAAGATAACATTTTTAAATTGTATAAGATTTCGAAGACTTATTGGGGACAGGAGCGTACTCAAGAACTTTAACTGAGTATGCAGTGTTGTGGACAAATTATTTAGGATTCATTTGAGACATATAAAACTTTTTAAAGATCTGTAAATCCTGAATTTGAGCGCAAAGTTGACGTTCAAAATCGTAGTTTTGCGTGGATACGTTTTTTTTATTATTAAATATCGACGACAAAAAATGTAAACAAAATTCTTCAGTAAATTAATTAGTTGTTTAGGAACAGGTTGAGAAAATAAAAATTAATCTTATTATCGAAAATAAGTAATCTTGTTCAATTATTAGTTTCTATTTTCTCATTATTCTGGTCTCTCATTATTCACAAAGATTTTCTGCAGATTTTATGGAATTATGATTGAAAAGACGACATTTGAAGAATTTGTAAAATCTGCGAATACATTCATTGAAATACGAAATTCAATATAATGATGAAAACGAAATAATTGTTTCTAGCATTGATTTATTGACAAATTTATTTTGAGAAATATGTTTATTACTATCCAATTAGTTTACTGCATAATTTTTAGTTTATTTTTCGTCGTCGTAATTTAATAATTTAAAAAAACCGGTTCTGAAAACGTACCCACCAAAATTCATAATTTTGAACGTCGACTATGCACTCAAACTTGTTAATTATACATCGTGGAAAAGTTTTATATGTCTCAAATAAATTCTAAAGACTTTGTCCAAAAAACTTCATACTCAGTTTAACTACCTTACATAGCCGGTCTGTCCCTTTAAAAGTTACCGTTGTAAACTCTTTACAGAGACAGTCTATTTAATTTCAACGACCCTCCATAAAAACTACATTCTTTGAACCTTTTTATGATCAATAATTTAGCAGATATTGTAAAGTAACATTTTTTAAGAGAAATCATGGATATCTCTCTTACTTTTGATCAGAAAAAGGTTTTCAGGGAACCGTTTTTTAATATAATCTAGCGTGAGAGCGGACATGATAACCCTTACAAACCTGATACATAAGCTGCCCATCTCTATATGCCTGAATAGACCTTACAAATCTGATATAAAAGATGCCCATCTCTATATGCCTGAATAGATCTTACAAACCTGATACATAAGCTGCCCATCTCTATATGCCTGAATAGACCTTACAACCCTGATACATAAGCTGCCCATCTCTATATGCCTGAATAGACCTTACAACCCTGATATAAAAGATGCCCATCTCTATATGCCTGAATAGATCTTACAAACCTGATATAAAAGCTGCCGTTCTCTGTATGCATGAATAGACCTTACAAACCTGATATAAAAGCTGCCCATCTCTATATGCCTGAATAGAACTTACAAACCTGATATAAAAGCTGCCCATCTCTGTATGCCTGAATAGACCTTACAAACCTGATATAAAAGCTGCCGTTCTCTGTATGCATGAATAGACCTTACAAACCTGATATAAAAGCTGCCCATCCCTATATGCCTGAATAGACCTTACAAACATATATAAAAGCTGCCGATCTCTGTATGCCTGAATAGACCTCACAAACCTGATATAAAAGCTGCCGTTCTCTGTATGCATGAATAGACCTTACAAACCTGATACAAAAGCTGCCCATCTCTATATGCCTGAATAGACCTCACAAACCTGATATAAAAGCTGCCGATCTCTATATGCCTGAATAGAACTCACAAACCTGATATAAAAGCTGCCCATCTCTGTATGCCTGAAGGTGACAAAGTCCTCAATCGTAGAACTGCAGACCACATAGTCACCATGACTAAAATATTCATTTTTATTGCATGTTATAATACATTCACAAATATGATATTAAGCAGTTTTGTAAATAATGTGAGAAGCTGACAATCCTATTTGTCTACATTTTAAGCGAATAAATGATACATTTGGAAAAAAATTTCTGGAATGTATTTGTAGTCTAAATCTTCCAATCCTCGTACAACAACTCGTCCTATATCTCAAAACAAAACCTTTCAGCTTATAACTTAAAAATTCACTCTTTTATTTGACTATTTGACTTTAAGTTTATTTTCCAGGGTCTTTCTACAGTATCTCTGACCTAGAAAAGCTATCCAAGAGTTTCTGGAGAAAAAATTAATAATTCAACCCTGTTGAACGTAAGTTTCCTTGTGAATGCTGTTGATTTCCCAAAAATAATTATTATTAGTTTTGAATTAATAAAACATCATTTTATCAATTTTAAAAGAAATGTAAAATCTCTTACTTTATCGGTGGATACAAGCAGTCAGTACTAACTTCATTATCTCTAAACCTGATCATCTATAACAGTTGACTTGTTTAGTAGCAATTTCCACTTGTCTGTTTGTTTGTATGTGCGATCCTTTTATCCCCTGTCCTACTATTGTCCTACAACCCCCTGTTCTTCTTTTGTCCTACAATCCCCTGTCCTACTATTGTCCTATTACCCCACATTCATCTATCCCCTGTCCTACAGATGTTCTGCTACCCCCTATTCTACTACTGCATCCTGCTACTGTCCTACTACCCCCTGGCCTACTGCTGTCCTACTACCTCCTATTCTACTACTGCATCCTGCTACTGCCCTACTACTGTCCTACTACCCCCTGGCCTACTGCTGTCCTACTACCTCCTATTCTACTACTGCATCCTGCTACTTTCCTACTACTGTCCTAATACCCCCTATCCTCCTACTTTCCTTATACTGTCCTACTACCCCCTATCTTCCTACTGTCGTCCTACCTCCTATTCTTTACTGCATCCTGCTACTGTCCTGCTACTGTCCTACTACCCCCTATCCTCTTACTGTCCTACTACCTCCTATTCTACTACTGCATCCTGCTACTGTCCTACTACCCCTTATCCTCTTACTGTCCTACTACCTCCTATTCTACTACTGCATCCTGCTTCTGTCCTACTACTGTCCTACTACTGTCCTACTACCCCCTATCCTCTTACTGTCCTACTACCTCCTATTCTACTACTGCATCCTGCTACTGTCCTACTACTGTTCTACTACCCCCTATCCTCTTACTGTCCTACTACCTCCTATTCTACTACTGCATCCTGTTACTGTCCTACTGCTGTCCTACTACTGTCCTACTACCCCCTATCCTCCTACTGTCCTACTACCACCTATTCTACTTCTGCATCCTGCTACTGTCCTACTGCTGTCCTACTACTGTCCTACTACCCCTTATCCTCCTACTGTCCTACTACCTCCTATTCTACTACTGCATCCTGCTACTGTCCTACTGCTGTCCTACTACTGTCCTACTACCCCCTATCCTCCTACTGTCCTACTACCTCCTATTCTACTACTGCATCCTGCTACTGTCCTACTACCCCCTATTATACTAGTGCATCCTGCTACTTCTGTCCTACTACCCCCTATTATACTACTGCATCCTCCTCCTGCTGTTCTACTACCCCCTATTATACTACTGCATCCTCCTACTGCTGTCCTACCTGTGTAAACCTCTTGTTATCGTCTATGTCATCTGAACCCTGATCTGTTGGTGTACGACAGGCCTAATCAATGAATTAGAAACTATTTTTATGCCTAAATAATAATTCTTCCCCACGGTAGGGGGTCAGGGGCGGGGGTCAATAGCTTTTGTCACATTACTCCTCTGAAAGCGCAAAAAGTTTTATTTTTTATCCTCCATTAAAAAAATAAACATGACTTGTTGTAGAAACAGATTTGGAACTTGCTACAGATTATGTTATTTAAATATAAATAAAGAAATATACATACACCAGATATTTATTGAGAAAATAGTAATAAGAAAAACATGTATTTTCCATAAATAGTAATCCAGCCCAGAAATATTAATAAATAGCTCTGTACCTGAAAAACAAATATTTTCGGTTTTCCATAAAAGTTCTTGACTGAGCTTTTGTCAGCAAACTTCATAATAATCTCCTTCCGGTCCATTGGTAGCCCATCACATGCATAAACTAAAATATTTCATAATAATCTCCTTCCGGTCCATTGGTAGCCCATCACATGCATAAACTAAAATATTTTTAACATTAACATTTATTAACAAAGATCAAACCAATCCTTACTTATCTAATCATTGGATCTCTATATAAATATTTTCTCCAGGGTTGCAATACGAAAGCTTAAAATTGATCTAAAATACGAATTTACTCTGTTTTCATGTATACACAACGAAAACCGTTAAGGTTCTCAAATTTTCAACATTACAGTTTCTCAATTAGATTTTTTTGTCTAATATCTTGTCAAAGGTTTTCAATTTATGGAATTTTTCCTTTGAAATGCCAAATTATTTTGATCTCAATGAGAATTTATTTTTCTATTTTTCTATTTTTCTATTCCGTTCCATACTGTTGCGGACTTTTTAAATCAGTAATGTAAATAATGTAAATAATGTAAATAATGTAAATAATGTAAATAATGTGAATAATGTGAATAATGTAAATAATGTAAATAATGTAAATAATGTAAATAATGTATGTAATGAAAATAATGTAAATAATGTAAATAATGTAAATAATGTGAATAATGTAAATAATGTAAATAATGTATATAATGAAAATAATGTAAATAATGTAAATAATGTAAATAATGTGTTTAAATTTCATATCTATCTAACAAATTAAGTGTTTTGAAAGAAAGAATAAATTAATATAAATCAATTTTTAAATTCTATTTCATATTGTTTTATTATAATATGCTTTGTTCTTGCCATGTTTTCAATATTTGATGCCTCAAAGGTTAAAAAAGCTTTATTTGAATGATTTCTAAAAACCAATCAAATCATACCTTAGTCAATTCTGACACAGCTCAGACATGGCCTATATAAGTATTTTCGCGTCGTATATTAAATTTAAATTTGAATTCATTGTTTATAGTTAAAATGAATTGTTAAATGGCTTTTTAGAAATCTAAAAAAAATATTATTATTTTTCTTTCAAGAATCAAGATTACCAGAACAGGATGAAACCAGAGATGAGATTTTAAAAGCTTAAACCCGAGTGAAACCCAGAGTTGGGCTCAGATAGAACCCCAGGATTGGCTCTAATTCGACCAATTAGAGATTGCTTAGAAAGCTTTCTTTCTGGCAGATCAGCTGTGACAAGGAGATGTAAATTTCGAAAATTCAAACTTTACATAGATACATTATTTTTGTAGTATGTTTATTTCATACCTTTGTTCAAATTTGCCTCTACAAATAATTCCCAAAATTTTAAATGTATAAATATAAAGTTTTTTCAAGATTTACGATCATCAGTTGCTGAAGACTCGAGCCTTCAAGGGAGAAAAATCCAAGGTGGTTGGTTTTTACGAAACTCAAGGTCATCCAATACCCAGGTCTTGACTTGAGCTTTACATGGGTCAAAGCAGACGCAAAGACCGGGTTTTACTTGGTTTAAGCTTTTAAAATCTCATCTCAGGGGGCGTTTACAGTGGGTGGATGCTATGGGGGACACATGAAAAATAAGATTTCCCTAGAAGATTCAGCCCCCGAAAAAGAAAAAGTCCCGGGTATGTTATAAAAATGTCCCCCCCCCCTTCTATACAAATTCCTGTTTATGCCCCTGAAACCAACCTTCGTTTTTACCACACCGTGTGATGCCTCCATGGCTGAGGATACAAACACAAAGCCAGGCAAACTCTGCATGATGCTCATCCGCATACCTAGATACAGCCTTCGTCTTATATATCAATACAATTCTGATTTTTACCATTCTTTAAACACAGCGAGACCCATAAAAATATAATTTGAAAAATTCATGTCAAAGATCAAATATTTATTAATAAAATAGATGGTACAGTCCAGTCCAGTCCAGTCCAGTCCAGTCCTTTTATGATATTGAAGGGGGCTGAATACCCCCCACTAAAAATCATAGTCTTGACCTTTCCAAGGGGTTGGCAAAGCCCAAAAAGCCCCCTTTCCCTGTATATGCCCCTGAGAACAATACAGTGATATAAGACTCACCTGGCGCATTCATCCAGCTTCTCCCTCATATCCTTGAGGTTGAGGTTGTTGAAAATACTGCAGGATTATTATGTAAAATTCAAACAGAAATTTTAGAATGGAAAGTGCCCGGCGTTGCCCGTGAAATTTTTTTAATTTTGTAAAAAAAATGCTTAGCCTATGTCACTCCGGGGTACCCATGAGATCCCTCAAAAAGGTTCAGTCAATTTAGTCCAGCCGTTAGGCCTCCATAAAAATATATATATTCATATATGAGCCTTCAGCTTGATTGTATAGATAAAAAATTCCAAAAAAGTTTTAAAATTTAATTTACATATTTTCCTAATCTTTCTAGCCCCGAGGTAGGTGAAAACAATGTTAAGTCTGTCCCTAAATCAGGAAAATATTATAGTTCAAAAGGTTTGGTTTGGTTGTGTACAGTGTATAGTGTACGTTGTGTACAGTGTATAGTGTACGTTGTGTACAGTGTATAGTGTACGTTGTGTACAGTGTATAGTGTACGTTGTGTACAGTGTATAGTGTACGTCATTTTTTAATCATTCTAAAATTTCCGCAGATTTTTCTGCTAGTTCTGTTTGAAGGAGAGAAAAGTTGAATTTTCAAGGTAATTGGACTATTTGCGTATCTTTAAAGTATCTTATACTTATGACTGATAGCCAAGAAGTCAAATGTTTTGAATTTTCAGGAGCTCCTAGGGGGGGGGGGGGGCATTTTTTTGGTGCTTAGCGCATATTTGGACCCCCCCCCCAATATATATTTCTGTATACGCCCCTTGCCGACCTGTTGAGCAGTTTAGACGTTTGGATACAAATAAATAAACAAATAAATGTAAATATAGATTACCTGTCAATATCAGTTCCAAGACGGGATTCTAAGGATTTCGATGCAGGATTCCAAGGATCTCTAAACAATATTAATCAAAAATAAGTATCAACTAAAAATTGATTTAGTGAAAACTGGTTTAATTTGTGTATCTATTAAGATACACAAAAAAACTAACTGTTAATGGATGTTTCGATGTTCAATATTTAATCGATAAAAAACTTTTAATTATCTAAAAACCTTTGTGGACAGAACAAATTATTTAAGTTTGTAAAGGAATTAAGTATTTGTCACAAACTCTTAATTTCTCATCCCTATATCTTTGCAATCTCATATCGTAGATACTTAAAACCATAACTTCTGTTGGATCAAATGACATAGTTTGAAAAATCAAATTTTTTTCCATTGTTCTATTTGAATGTTGAATATTTTGAAAGGCTTAATTCCTTTATTTTATTTCTTATTATTGAAAGAAAAATCACCTTGTAAATGTTTTCTGATTGATAATAACAACATATCCTGGTCCCTTGGGATAATGATCAGCTCGAACAGATTTCCGCGCTGGGACACTGAATAGGCAATTTTTTTACACATCTTCAAACATTTTTTACAACTAGGTGGAGTTGATAGTCCTTATATATATATATATATATATATAAAGTAGTAATCTGTTGGATATTCAATCATAACTCATGAACCCCTTGACCGATTTCCCACAATTTTGATTCGTTAACTCGGGAGAACTACAAGTTTTGCGATTCTAAGTTGAGTGAGTCAACTTTTATAGGGAAAAATAGCTAAAATCTTAATTTACGACCAAGCACGGGTAAACAGCGGGAATAACTATGATTGCCCTGGTCGGGCAGGCTGGGTTCTCAAGCTAGATAAATTTTCAAAATCAAATTAAAACTCTGAGTTACCATTACCAAAGGGAACATTTTCCTGAAAAAAATAACCTGCGGAAAGAGACTGAATTTAAAGAATTTAAGACGTGGCTCAAACATGGTTGGTTCCACTTGAAATTGCGTTCAGTGTTTTGAGATTTGAGCAGGTGCTCTACTGTAACCGGTTTTTGGGTGGCGGTTCAGCAACGCGGTTTTAATTCTTTAAATTCGGCCTCAGTTATGATTATATTCCTCCGACCTCCGAGGCTTACATGTCATTTTGCTGAAGGATTCAAGGGTCGGGTACTTATCGTCTTATTCTTTGTAATAATTGAATATGCTAATTCACAAGAAACACAGCAACAGAAACACACATCAAAGTGAGTAAATGCTGTCTTCCTCAGTTATATGGGTCTCTCTATACTCCGTTTTCCTAGCCTTGAAAATTATGAAAAATTGGAAAACTACCTTGTTTGTAGAATGAATGGATGTTGTTTAGGAAGATGTTGAATGAGGAGAGGTAAAAAGTGATTCATCTACACAACACAACAGGTTCTTAACTCATGAACATGGAAGGGGCTATTGAGAACCCCCCCTTCTCACTTAAAAAATATTTATGCAAAATTTGAAGATAACATGTAGAGGTAAAATATACAGGGTGGCCAAAACTTTTTTGAAAATATCCGTACGAAAATCCATATATTTTCAGAAGAAATCCGTACAATCCGTACAATTTTCGAAAATAAATCCGTACAATCCGTACAATTTTCGAAAAAATCTGTACATTTTTAAAAAATCCGTACAATTTTCGAAAAAAATCCCTGCAATCCGTACATTTAAGAAAAATAAAACCATTTTTGAAAATATTCCCCCATCTCTTAGCTCCCCCCACCCTTCCCTCAGCAACGAATGATGTTCCCTCTAACAACCTATATTCAATTCATGGTAGTAAAAACTACTGTTGTTGACTTTAAAAGTCACTATAATAAAATAAAAAGATCTAAAATGGATATTTCTAACATTTATTTAAAAAACGAGTGTTTTGAAATATTTGCATTTAAGGCGGAGTTAAAATTGGTTGATTTAGAAATTAACAAAGGAATTATTGATGGATATTTGATGGTACTTCATGGGAGTGTTGTAGAGCTTCATGATGGTGGAGCAGATCAACAGGAACTGGGGCAACAGGGCTTATCAATGGAACTAAGGCAATGCAACTCGAGATAGCGGAAACTTCGGTCAGAGCCGTGCACAAGTTTCCTAAGTAAGCTTCTCAAGAAGTTTATAGGGAGATCAGAGGTATCAGCACGCCTGCTGCTAGCTCAGTATCTGCATCGTCAGCATGAAGGAATCAAGAGGCTCCCTGTGTCGGAGCTGTTACCAGCCCAACTCTCCTAACTTGACTGACTGGGATGTGTTATAGAGGGGTGAGGCGGGGATAGAAGGAGCGAGGGTTACATGTGTGTACTTCATGGCGGAAATGGATCTTGTGTACACACGCATCTTGAGAAAAAGCTACAGCATTTGAGTCGGAAAAATTGTCTTCCTTATATTTCGAATTTGTTTTAACAACTGTAGGTATTTGAATGCTTAGATGAAAACCCGGAAATAATGAAAAAATAAGATCAACTGAAGAAACTCAACTTAAACTCAATTTTAAAATCCGTTTATCTTTGCAACCTGAAAACCTTTGGTTTTTGAAACGAAGCCTAATTTTTGAACAAAAGAACAACAGAACAAGAGAACTTAACACTTAGAACTAGAGAAATAGATAACTAGAGAACTAAAGAACTAGAGAACTAGAGAAATAGAGAACTAGAGAGCTAGAAAGCTAGAGAACAAGAGAACAAGAGAACTAGAGAACTAGAGAACTAAAGAACTAGAGAACTAGAGAACTAGAGAAATAGAGAGCTAGAGAGCTAAAGAGCTAGAGAACTAGAGAACTAGAGAGCTAGAGAACTACAGAACTACAGAACTAGAGAACTAGAGAACTAGAGAACTAGAGAACTAGAGAACTAGAGAACTAGAAAACTAGAGAACTAAAAAACCAGAGAACCAGAGAACAAGAGAACCGAACCAGAGAACCAAAGAACTAGAGAGCTAGAGAACTAGAGAACTAGAGAGCTAGAAAGCTAGAGAACAAGAGAACTAAAGAACTAGAGAACTAGAGAACTAGAAAACTAGAGAACTAGAGAACTAGAGAACTAGAAAACTAGAGAACTGAGAACTAGAGAACTAGAGAACTAGAGAACTAGAGAACTAGAGAACTGTAGAACTGGAGAACTAGAGAACTAGAGAACTAGAGAACTAGAGAACTAGAGAACTAGAGAACCAGAGAACTAGAAAACCAGAGAACAAGAGAACCGAACCAGAGAACCAGAGAACTAGAGAACTAGAAAACTAGAGAACTAGAGAACCAGAGAACTAGAAAACTAGGGAACTAGATAATAGAAAACTAGAGAACTAGAGAACCAGAGTACCAGAGAACTAGAAAACTAGAAAACTAGAAAACTAGAAAACTAGAGAACTAGAGAACTAGATAATAGAGAACTAGAGAACTAGAGAACTAGAGAACTAGAGAACTAGATAATAGAGAACAAGAGAACTAGAGAACTAGAGAACCAGAGAACCAGAGAACAAGAGAACCAGAGAACTAGAGAACCAGAGAACTAGAGAACTAGAGAACTAGAGAACTAGAGAACTAATGAACTAGATAATAGAGAACTAGAGAACTAGAGAACCAGAGAATCAGAAAACCAGATAACCAGAGAACTAGAGAACTATATAATAGAGAACTAGAGAACTAGAGCACCAGAGACCAGATAACCAGATAACCAGAAAACCAGAGAACCAGAGAACCAGAGGACCAGAGGACCAGAGAACTAGAGAACTAAAGAGCGTTGATTCTAATTTTTAAAACTGTTTAGATCGGTGTGTAGGCCATTTAACAATTAAGTTATAATTAGAAAGAGTGGAGTGTAGATTTAGGATCTAATATAATTAAAAATAGCATGGTACAGGGGTTGCACACTCAATTGAAAGAAAGTTAATATTAAACTAAAAATGAAAAGATTTACAGATAAACGGAAGAAACTTGAGAGGATTTTCTCAGATCTGATAAAGAGACAGATAGATAGATAGATAGATAAACAGACAGACAGATAGATAGACAGAGAAACAGATAGACACATACACATATAGATAAACAGAGAGACAGATAGGATATATAAACAGATAGATAAAAAGATAGATAAACTGACATGCAGATAGATATACAGATGGATAGACTAGCTAGACAGATAGCTAGACATATAGCTAGACATATAGCTAGACAGATAGATAGACAGATAGCTATACAGATAGCTAGACAGTTAGCTAGACAGATAGCTAGACAGATATACAGATAGATAAACATATTCTCAAATGAACACTTCTGGAACATATTCTCAAATGAACACTTCTGGGATCTCGAAAATTATGAATGAATTTTGATTGTCAATTGAAACTTTAATCAATCAATCTAATATTATTTAGAATGCAGAAAATAAGTTAAACTAACTTCATTTTGACGAGATTTTTTTTGAAATTTTCATGAAAAATTTGCTGAAAAGAGTGAAAATTAAAAAAAAACGGTGTATTTCCAGGATAAGAATCCGTACAATCCGTACAATTTGAAAAAAATCCGTACAATCCGTACATTCCGTACAATTTTAGGGTTACAAAATAAAAAATCCGTACAATCCGTACATTTTGGCCACCCTGAATAATTATATACACAAAAGATTGGTAGTTGTGAAACATCTAGGGACAAAAAAGTCAGAAATGAAAAGAGAAATTTGAAGCAAAATGTAATTACTATAAGATATCTTTTAGGTATTAGGGCATAAGATTTCTATGAGAGATTAGAAAAAATGTTGAAAAAAAAACTAATTTTATTTTAGAACTCTCCAGAATTTTCTGTTGATGAACATATTGAAGAATCTGAGTTTCTAGCATCAGATACCTGAAATTATTATTTTTAAAGGGACTGTAAGCGTAATTTCAACTGACCCTCAATAGCAACTGACCCTCAAAGAAGGCAATGTTCAAATCCAATCCAATCCAATCCAATCATATCTTATCAAATCAAATCAAATCAAATTTTACAGGGATCACTTAAGGCATCCTTCTCTCGAGCCAGAGTTTTAATTCCTCCCCTCATTCCAGATTATGAGCCTGATTCTGCTAATTCCTTTATTTTTTTTAGAATGCCGAAATGAGCAAATCGTTTTTATAAAGATTGAAATAAATCAGCTTTTTCAAAATTCTAAACATTGATATCTGATTCATATTTAATCAGACAAAGATTTCAAGGGTACCGTTGTAAATTGGGCATTGCCATCTTTGCATGGAGGGTCACTTGAACTAAAGCTATCAGTCCCTTTAATAACAACTCAGCTCTGTGATAAAAGAAAATAAAGCAGTAATTAGATATTCGGAGAAATTTGCCGAAATGAGCAAATCGTTTTTATAAAGATTGAAAATAATCAGCTTTTTCAAAATTCTAAACATTGATATCTGATTCATACTTAATCCGACAAAGATTTCAAGGGTACCGTTGTAAATTGGGCATTACCATCTTTGCATGGAGGGTCACTTGAACTAAAGCTATCAGTCCCTTTAATAACAACTCAGCTCTGTGATAAAAGAAAATAAAGCAGTAATTGGATATTCGGAGAAATTTGTTAAAAGGAAAATTTTCTTTTTCACGTCTATAGAGACATTTTCTTTTTTTTTATATAATTACAGGGGTAAACCTAAACTTTTCAATATAATTACAGGGGTAAACCTAAACTTTTTCAATATAATTACAGGGGTAAACCTAAAACTTTTAAAATTTTCAATTTTAATTTTCCTAGAACTTTTTTAATAATGTCAAAAAGAGTGTATTTTTTTAAAAAAGAAATTTTGTTAATTCTTAAAAAAATAAGAAAAATAGTTTGACGGATTAATCCTTATTCAGAAAAAAAAACTAAAATAATCTGGACCTGGAATTCAAGGGAACATCTTTTGTTAACGCAATTCGCTCTTTTTCTGTGATATCCCTAAAATAAAAAAAGTTAATGTTTAAAAATTTCAACTAGATATTTCAACTAGGTAGGGCTCAGGGTTAGAACCCGTTTGATTTCAAAATTTTAGCTCCATGGACCCAAAACCACAAAATTGTGCGAATCTGATGCCAATGCAGAACTCCTTATGAGGAATTTTTCAATCCTTCCTGACTTCTAAATGGTGAATTTATATTAACAGAAGAATCTATAATAAAACCAGAATTTTTTCCTTAATAAGAATGTAGAAGAAATCAGTTAAGTTTGTATAGGAAAAACGTTTTTTCCTCACAACTTTATATTAATTTACAAAAATTCCGTAAACTAATTTGAGCTGGAGAGGTTCAAGACGGTTTTATTGATACCCGGATATCAATATGATTTATAAATATTTATTTTTTACTTTTATTGGTGATTTTAAAAAAATTATTGTGGAAAAATACCTTCCATTTATCGAGAGACATGTCCGATACACAACGGTACCCTTTAAACCTTTGTACAGACAACGATGAGGTAGATACACTCATTTGTATTGCTGAAGATTGAGTCCCGGAAGACTCGAGGTGACAGATTACATTCATTGCTAATGTACACACGCGCGCTTTCTTCACACTTAATTTCCGGCTTTATGAATAAGAATGTTAACAAAATCCTTGATCAAACAAAGACTTAAAGGGTATCGTTGTAAATCGGACATCCACTTTATAAATGGAAGGTCACTAGAAATTTTGCTTAAAGTCCCTTTAATACTAATTACTAAACCTGCATAGATTGTATAGGTTGACCGCTGTTGGATCCAGGTAGGATTGTTTAAACTTCATCTTCGCTTCCTGTATAATAACAAAAATAATAATAATAGTAATCACTGTCAATCTTTCAATCGGAGATTTCAGAATTGAGCTCCCATCCGTTTACGTTACAATAATGTAACCCAGTTCAGAGCTTAAGTTATTTCAAGTTTTACTTCAGACTAAAAAGGAAAGTTTTTCTAAATTATTTCAAATGTGAACGTACAGGGTTACCTACAAAGGATGAGACTTTATGGCGAACGTATAGGTCATTGCCTTGAAAATGGTCTCTAATGGTTTTATTTGCGGATTTAACCAAGGTAACGAGACGTATGGAGCTACGTGGAGCCAGGACATAAAAAATAAGAATAAATAAATTCCGTCTTATCTTTTGTGGGTAACCTTGTAGGACAATTCAAAACTTTTTTTTGGGTTTAATTTGGTAAAAATCTGTTCAAAAATTTATTTATTTTGATTTCCATTTTAAAATGACTTGACTAAATAGATTCTCTGGTTGTCACTGTACCTCTGGAGTGAGTCCGAAATCATTAAGTATTCTCATATTATTCGTCAAATACAGGGTCTCACACAACTAAACAGATACAAATTATATCATAATACAAATTATGATGATTAAAATAAATCAAAATTTTAGCACCTTTGCCTCCCAGAGGGTGTCGTTGTTTAAATTAGCACTGTACCAAAACAAATAAACCACACCTAAAATCAGATCAATCATTTTTTGGATTTAAGTATTTTTATTCACGAGAGACAGTTAATGAATTTGTTTCCCTTTGTATTCATATCAAATTGTGTTTACAAAAATGTTACATTTATTTTTACAATTATAGTTAAACTTTATGTTCCGTTAGTGTGACGAAGAGAAAAATATCTAAAAGAAATGTAATTTCATTTTCGTGGCGGAACACATTTTTTTAAAAGATTATATAATAAAATCATATCATATCATATCATATCATATCATATCATATCATATCATATCATATCATATCATATCATATCATATCATATCAAACCAAACCAAACCAAACCAAATCAAGTATCAAGTAAATATACAAAATACAAATACAAACAGAGAGTATATGGTTTGTTTACAATTTTCTGTAACGTATTAGGACTAGTTTTATCGTAAAAATAATAAAAAATTTTAGACCGATTGTTTTAAGTTGTTTGATAACAATAAAACTGGTTTTATAGCTGTCTTAACACTTTACTGTAACATGTAAATTATCCATTTCTATGAGGACATACAAATAGACAAACAGAGATTGCAAATTTATATGTATAGATATAATTTACATATAGATAAATGTTTGGTGTCTGACCTGAGGGATTACCAAGACCTGTCGCCACTTCATTCTTTCCAGACTGCTCCAGGCTCTACAAAAAAAATCCTTTCAATTGTTTTGCTTCAAAATATTTTCTTTTTGTTGAGGCCATTAGAGGCCATTAGAGGTCAATAGAGATCATTAGAGATCATTAGAGGTCATTAGAGGTCAATAAAATTCAATTCAATTATGTTTTAGGAAATTCGAACACTAATTAGGCGTGCAGTCAAAAATTGGAAGATTTTAACCAAAAATGAAGGAAGAGACCCCCCCCCCC